TATAAAATCAATAGAAACTTAATCGCAATACTACTTGATTGGTAGATTCTTTTAGATTATCAAAATCGATTGAGATCTGCACGTTCGCATTATCCTAAGACAAAATTTCGCCAGTATTCGGCCCGTTTAGAGGATGCAACAATCGTTATTCAAGTAGAACTTGAATCTAGCGAATCAAACTATGTTTGGTGATGAAATCGATTGAGGAGAGAGAAAACCCATAATTTTGAAAGGAAAAAAACGAGAGATCGATTTTTTGGAATTAGAGATTAAATTTATACGTTTTTATGTCAAATTGTCAAAAATAGCAAATGACAGACACTGAGTTGTTGCTTAAACTTTTAAACGATTCATTTTAATGCACAATGATTAATGTGCATTACGTGGGTTCCTTTTCCTCTGGACTCCTACGTGAGATAAGTTTTCCTCAAATCGAGACTAAGTTCCAACAAGGGTTTGGCTGTAACTTAAGTGTCAGTTCTTGATGATGGCTAAAGGTACACCTTTAGTTAAATAAAGTCGTCAATCAGGCGTAAATTCCATTTTAATGTGTGGCCATATCTTAAGTGAACTTCTACTATACAATCAAGGAACATCAAGTAGTGGATTTTCAGCCATAGATTACCATCATTCACAAGTCTCGTTGTTCAAGAGCATGAAACCCATAATGAATTACAAACAACTCGATTAATCCAATGACCAATCATATCAGTTAGTTGCATGTGTAAGCATGACGATGGATCGTACAAATAGCTAGGATTGCATACGATACTCAATTTTTCATATTATAATCATTGATTATAATGTTTAACTTTATTATTATATAATTTAAAATAAGATAAAACCCTTATTTATAAAGGTTGATGTGATCTATAAGAATAAAAAATGATAATATTAAATTAAAGGGAAAAGTACAATAAAAACCAATGAACTTTTTTGTTTGGAATGATTAAGTCCTTGAACTTTTTTTTGGAACAAATAAGTCCTTGAACTTTCCAAAACATGTTAAATAAGTCCTTGGACAATTTTTTGGCACAAATAAGTCCTTGGACATTCCAAAATATATTAAATAAGTCCTTAAACATTCCAAAATTTTTTAAATAAGTCATTGGACTATTTTTGGAACAAATAAGTCCTTGAACAATCCAAAACATGTTAAATAACTTCTTGAACTTTTATAAAACATGTTGGATACATTCTAATGACTTGTACAACTAGTTAAAATGGTAATTATTTTTTTGTAAATGTAAGTACTTTTTTGTTATATTTGTTTAATTTTATAGATCTAAATACTTTTTGGTTCAAAAAATATTTAGGGGCTTAATCGTTCAAAATATGAATGTTCATTGGGTTTTTTCCGAATTTTTTTCACTATTTTACCACTTTATTTTTTTCAAAAAGTTATTTAACATGTTTTGGATTGTTCAAGAACTTATTTGTTCCAAAAATTGTGCAAGGACTTATTTAACATTTTTTGAAATGTTCAAGGACTTATTTGTTCCAAAAATTGTCCAAGGACTCATTTAACATATTTTGGAATATTCAAGGACTTATTTAACATGTTTTGGAAAGTTCAAGGACTTATTTGTTCCAAAAAAAAGTTCAAGGACTTATTTGTTCCAAAAAAAAGTTCAAGGACTTAATCATTCCAAACAAGAAAGTTCATTGGTTTTTATTGTACTTTTCCCTAAATTAAAATCAAACCCCATAATTTCTATTGTTTTATATTAAAATTAAACCAACCATTATCGTTGATAATACGTATATACTAAAAAATTAAATTAAACAAGTCCCTTATTCTTTAATAATTTATTAGAAGGGTAATCGTGCAATGTATCAAGACATATTTTAATTTCAGTGTTTCGTTTTATTTTATTTTTTATGTCGATATAATACGGTTTTATGTGGTTTTGATAAAGTGATAATATTTTTATTTTTGAATAAAATATAAATTTGAAAATATCATAAAATTTTGAAAAAAAATATATATATCGATATCAGTATCAAATTAATTTTTTTAATAGTTCTTGTGTTTTGGTGTAATTTTCTTAATTCAATTTTTTAATTATAATTTAATTTAGGTTTAGTAACAAAGAAATTTAATTTAGATCTAATAATATGATTTTTTATGAATATAATAACTAATTATTCTTATAGAACTCAATGGTTATCTTAATTATATTTTAAATTTTTTATATTTAAAATGAGATGTTTATCCAATATTTGATTATGTTTATCCGCAGTTAGTTATACGAATCCAAATATGGAGCTCTAATAAGTTGTACTTATGCATAATTTACTTGTAATTTTAAATTTTAAGTAATATGCATCAATAAACAATATTTTGTATATAAAAAATAGTTTTTAAATTTTTTTGTTAAATATTTAATAATATAATATAGATATACATTCAATAATGAATGAGTCACAACACGTAGCAACCTTATTGCATTTTTCATATTGTAAAATAAATGAAAATTTTATTAAATTACTAAAAAATTTATTAATTTTTATATAGTCAATTTTTCCATTGATATATTATTCGATTTTATTATATAATCGTATAAAAACATGATATAACTATGACAATTTTTTTGACCAGTTTTCGTTAATATGTTTTTTAAGCCAATATATTTTAATTTAGAAAGATTCTATTATAAAATTACTTATCTGTTTGTTAACAAGTAATATTTAAGTAAAAAGTTGATTACTGATAATTTTAGTTTATCTATACTATTTTATTAAACAAATTTAACAAAAATCTTAAAGTCTTAAAATACTAAATGACCAAGATACTCTTTATACTACCATTACTTCACTTTTTCACCCCATCATCTCCTCACATATACTCACCCTCTCACATACATTCACCCTCTCAAATTGACCGATTTTTTAAAATTATAATTTTAAATTTACACTTTATACCCATATAATTAGTTGATTAATTTACTTTATGTCCTTTATTTTTAAATGTTTCATTTTAAACATTTATTAAATTAACATACATAATCATATATCAATTAAAACATGTTTAAAAAATATATTTTTATTTTAACAAGTTACACCATTATAATCGTTTTGTTAATACTTTCGAAATGAGTCTAATATTGAATAGTTTTTGACTTAATTATATTATTATATATTATATATATATATATATATATTGTGAAAAAATATTTTTAATATTTACGATTTATACTTTTATAGTTATTTATATATATATATATATATATATACTATATATTTTTGGGTTAGGCTGTTCAAATTGTATTGTATAATATGTTTTGAATTAATATGTTCTTGGGTTTTTTTGAAATATATATATACATGTATTAATTCAACCTTAATTTGAGTTTCTGGACAAGAAAGAGGGTAAACAGTTGAAATTTCACTCTAAAACCCATTTTTTTGTGGTATTTTTATGGCTTATGATTTGTCAAATTTATAGTTTTCTTAATTGGTTTTGAGTGTTTATCTTAAAACTCAAGTTTCTTGGTTCTTTTCTATTGGTGTAAATCGAATACATTTGTGGAGTCGTTTAAATATGTTGGATTTTAAATTGTCATACAAATTTTTTCATCGATAGTCTGTAATTGGAACCATAACTCTTATTTATTCAAATTGTATTAATATGTAAAGACCAAATATAACTTATATCATCGTTAAATCTTATCTTATAAAATCAATGAAACTTCAAAATCGTTAAAATTCATGGCTCCCACCGTATTACACGAATACACAACTAGTCGTACATAAAACCTGAGTCTCAAAAAATTTGTTAACAAGTAATATACCTCCACCGAGCAAAACTTATACCTTTTCTGTACCTCGAAAAAAGTACACTCAAAATTGTACAATTAAATTTTCCCTTTTAACCATTATTATTATTTTACTTTTATATCTTATACTTTTTTGTTTGATATATTAATCATACTAATTAATAATGTATTAATTTAAGTACATTTTTCTAATACTATAAATTTAATTATAATTAATGTTAAAAAATAAAAAGACAGCCTTTATAATTACTATTTTATTAAAGTTGTATTAATTTTTGAAAAATTTGATGAATCATTATTTTATAAAATAGAAGACGATATTCGAGATAAAATAACATTTGCGATGTTATCAATCATTCAAATCAAAATATTCACAAATACGATTATAATCTAAGAGTCTGTTTGGTTTATAAGATTGTTTGTGAGTGATTTGGATTTGGAGGGATTTGAATTGGAATGGATTTGAAATCACTGGTGTGTTTAGTTTGTAGGATTTAGAATGAAATTAAATTTCATTATTTATAAATAATTTATAGAAGAAATTAATTGAAATACATTTTTATTAATCAATTATTACAAAACAAATGTTTTTAACATTTTTTAAAACCTTATTATATATAATCCTACGAAATTCCGTGAAATCCCGAGCACTCCCTAAAGTAGGTTAAGTTAGTGTTGATTTTTTTCGAGTTTTGATCACTAGGTGTGTTCGTCAGAATGGGAGATAAGAGGAGGGGTGTTCATCAGAGTGTAAGAGGGGTAAAGAGTATTCACGGGAAGAGGCATCTTAGAGGGGGATTTAGCAATCTCATGTTTGAAACAAGCACACTATGAGAATTTAGTTCAAATACATATCCAACATAACGGTAAATATGCTCTTGATCGAAAACAACGAAAGAAAACTCACCTGTACACGCACACTTTCAATCTAGAATTACACCAAACCGATGGATTGAGGTTGCCAAATGATGATAAATAAACAAATCGCAAACCAAAGACTTTAAATGATTTTATATAACGATGTTTGTAATAATGATATTATTATTATTATTAAATAAGTTGTATAAAGTTTCCATGTATTTAAATATAGTTTTGGATAATAAAAATGGTGATGAAAGCATAAAAGAAATGGAACGAGAGTCTCCCCTAACACCATCATTACTTCCTATATAAGTGTAACCATCACCAATTCATGCCTCCATCACTCATCACTCTTCCACCATGACTCACCACCGTCTTCTCAGAAGCAGCAGCACCACCACCACCGGAATAATCTCAACCAATTACATCTCTTCAACCTCCTTCATAATCGATCCTGACCACAAACCTCTCGTCGGAACATCCTCTACTGCAGGTTTCGCCCGCCGTTTCTCCAGAACCATCCACTCCATTCTCAACGTTATATCAATCCCTACAATCCTTCCGTCGTGCCGGTGGCTTAGCTTACCCACCCAACTCTCACTAAGACCGTCCCACAGTCGGAAAGTCACCGGCACATTATTTGGAAACCGGAGGGGACACGTCAGCTTTGCGGTGCAGTATGATCCGAGATCAGAACCAGTATTGGTGGTAGAGCTGGCGGTGTCGACGGCAGCTCTGGTGAAGGAAATGTCGTCTGGGTTAGTTAGGATTGCACTCGAGTGCGAGAAACAGCACCGCCGCGGAAACACGAAGCTGTTTCACGAACCGACGTGGAGCATGTATTGTAACGGGAGGAAGTGTGGGTATGCACAGTCACGGGCGTGCTCGGAGTCGGACTGGCACGTGCTGAGCACGGTGCAAAGCGTTTCGGTGGGTGCCGGAGTCATACCGGTGGTGGAAGACTCCGGCAAAAGAAAAGGCGAAGGGGAGCTGCTGTACATGAGAGCGAGATTTGAACGAGTTGTGGGGAGTCGTGACTCGGAAGCATTTTATATGATGAACCCGGACGGCAGTGGAGGGCCTGAACTCAGTATATTCCTACTTAGAATATAATAAATTATACAATGTGTTTTATCATAATCTATATCTATATGTTATTATAAATATTTGATAAAAACTCTTAAAATATTTTTATACATAAAGTACTGTTTATTAAAGTATATATTACTTAAAATTCAAGATTACAAATAAATTGTGCATAGGTATAGTTTATTAAAGCTCTATGTTTGAATTCGTGTAACCAACTGCAGATAAACATAATCAAATAGAAAATAAACATCCCATTTTAAAATATAAAAAATCTAAAATATGATTGGAATAATTATTGAGTTCTAATAGAATACTTAATTATTATATTTACAAAAAAAAATATTAAACAGGAATTAAGTTAATTCATTACGTTAAATTAAATTATAATAAAAATTTCGAATTAAAAAAATAAACAAATAAGAACTTTTAATTAGATAATTTGATACTAATATTGATATTTTTTTGTAAATTTTATGTGATATTTTTAAATTTATATTTTATTCAAAAATAAAAACATTATCGCTTTCTCAAAACCACATAAAATTGTATTATATTGACATAGATAAAAAATAAAATGAAACATTGAAATGGAAATGTGTCTCGATGCATTGCACGGGTACCCTTCTATTTATATTATAAAGCATTTGACAAAAACTCTTAAAAATATTTTTTATGCATAAAATATTGTTTATTGATGTATATTACTTAAAATTCAAGATTACA